TTTTTTTTGAAAGCACCGGGATTTCGGAAGTTGATAAAACATCACATTTTCTTTGATTTCAATAATATTCTTATCATGGAGTACACATCGACAATTCCCAGTTCATTCATATTCACAATTTTTGAATCATTTATGCATGTCAGTCTCATTTCGCTTAGCAACTCACGATCAGCAGCGCACTTTTCTGCGTAAATTAACACCAAAAACAAGTGGAATCGGTGTGTGTTTCAACTTGAACATCGAAATTTTAGCGTTTTAAAACCTTGCTATCATCAGATATTGCTACTTTGTTCCGGCAAAACGCTAGGAATTCTGCGAATATGGGTTCTAAGAAATCATATTGTACGGCACTCAACCTAGTTCTGCAGTGAGCCAATCACATGAACCGAAACTTTTCTAATTTTACGATTGTTTTCAGTCGGTTGACTAGACATTCACTGATGGAAAAGTAACGGTTGGTATGGTTACCATAGTTAAAACACTTCCAAGTTAATCAGGTCTGCTTGCTGCAAATACAGATATTGCATAACGACAATGAAAATGATGATTTGCGCTAGAAAAAAAAANAAAAAAAAAGCAACTTATTAAGATTTGTTGCTCTAGCTGGCATTTTAAAAGAATGAATTTCATAGAAAAAAAGATGACAATGAAATTCGCACGGTTCATCAATCAGTTTAAAAACAATGAACTAAGCGATCAGTCTTGTGATTAATTTATTTCAACATACCTATATTGAGTTACAGACAGATTCAGTGTGCGAAGGAAACGTTCAGTCAGAATATGTGGACTACTGTGCAGATGGTCGATGATCCACAATTGCAGTAATTTAGGTAATCTAAGTCGTATCAACTCAAACGTTATGACATCAGTGACCAGTGGCTAGGTAATTGATGAGATGTGATGCGAAATATAATATTAATAATTCATTAATAATGATCACTGAATATTCATCACATCATTAAAATCACTCAGTAAATTAAATTATAAACGGTCGCATCGTTAATTAAGCAACAAATTGAAGTGTCATCAAGGTATTCATTCGCTGCATAATGATCAATCACTCTACGTTAGTAACGGATAGCGCACATGAATGTGGTCCGTTTATAACTTCAAGAAAGCGTTTAGCAACCAGCATTACTTTTTGCTCCATTTCCCCTGTTTACTAACATACTCAGAACGTAAAGATCAACATTGAATCCGTTTGCAAACCAATTTTGATAAACTGAAAAATAAGGTTACACTTACACCTGACACCTTATCTCACTACTTGTGAAGCGAACGGATTCGGCTAATTCACTTGCACTGACTACGATTTTCTAGCGGAGCATCTCATCTTCCACATTACCGTCACTTCGAAAAAGCGATGGTAATGTGGAAAATAAGATGGTATTGTGTGAAATCCTTCCTTTCGTAAAAAATCATGTGCAGAATCTGTTCACCCATAAGTTTGATCCCTATATTGTAATGTTTTGGAAATGCTTTCAATAGAGAGCATCCCTAATCATATGATAAATAACAAACTTCAATCATCCTTTGGATTTTCAACTGCTCATTCTACGATATCCTCACTTCAGAATTGGATCAATGCAACGATCAATAAGACATATGCGGTTGTGGTCTGTAGCGATCACTCAAAAGCCTTCGATACCGTCAGCCATCGAAAACTGTCGCGCAAACAAAATTCTTGTGGCATTCTAGATTAAATGCTCAACTGGATTGAAAATTCTCGGATTAACACATCTTCCAAAGTTAAAGTAGATGAATCGCCTTCTAACTACATACCTTCTAACTCCAAAAAATGTTGATAACCTTTTCAGCATATTCATTGCATTTCAAAACGGTCACAGTGAATTCATCTTGCCCGCACTAAAAATTCCTCAGTGATTGAACTGAGGAATGCTCAAATTCATAGTAAATTAGCACTGACAGATGCAGCTTCAAGCTTCAAGGTGCAGCAGTGACATTAACACCAACGAGTCGTTTTTTTTTGCAATTACTCGTAAACTATCTACCAATTAACCGAGTATCGAAACGATGTTCGAACTTGAGATGTCTGAACGGGATTTTTGAGAGCTTTATGCTAAGTACACAACCTTAGGCATTAAGTGAACGTATGCCTTAAGCCAGCTGTTCTCACAGGAGGTGAATTTACCCATTTTGGGTAATTTGGAGGTGTTGAGGGGTAATTAGTATTTTTCGTGCTGTTGTTATGTCGAGAAATTGGTATTATTTTTCCTTACCTTTTAAGCCAGTGCTTCTCGTACGGAATGAAATCACCCATTTTGTGTAATTTGGAAGGATCAAGGGGTAGTGGAGGGGGTCGGGAAATTAGTATTCCGTGCAGTTATCTTGTTATTAAGAACGCCATTGTGATAGTGTTTTTTAACTGGGGTATGTAAATGCGGTTAGTTGATGACAACACTCTTCATTTTCCTATTTTCTGAGTATCACTAGATCGTCCGGGCCTAACAAGGTTTTCATTCTTTTCCTTACTGCTACAATCACTCTCATAGCTTTTATCACCAAAAATGTTCTGTTTTGCTAATTTCTCATTCATTTCGCTCAACAATTAAAGTCGTATTCTCATTCTATCAAATACACTCTGTAATTGATCAGTTGACTGTCGAACGTTGTTGAGCAATAATATTCGATTGTTGTATTGTTGTTTTCGGCTGCTAACACTCGTCAACGTATCCAGCAAATAGTATATTCTACAGAATAAGAAATTGATTCGAACTGTGAATTGCAATTAGACGAAGTGAATGAGAAAAACCCATCAAGAGAACGATATTCGCATGTAACAGTTATAAAGAGTGAATAGAACATGTCTGAAAAGAATGAGAATCCATCTAAATCAGTTTGATGTGAGCGTGTCATAGTGCCACTTTCCGACCAATCGAATTATTTTCCAAAATGATAGAATTTGCATTCAAATACGATGCAAATATTCAAATATTGATTATTCGTAGATCATACAATTTGTTATATCTCATTTGTGAACGAAAAATGTACCGAAACCATCAGATTGAATTGAGCAGACGTCCACGTAGCCAATCTCCTCGAAAATTATCAAAATCAATGGACAGAAATGAATAACTTTCCATTCAACACAACTCTGATCCACGCACAGCAGCTATTCATTTTCAAATAATGCAGACGTCACCGTAAGCAAATTAGCGCAATCAATTTCTCTGGTTATGCCTTCTTTTTGAGTGGTCAACAGACATTTGAACTGTCCCAGAAAGTGCTCAGCCACTGATCAGAACGTGCGCGATCATAACGGACTTAATCTTCATTGAACATATAGATATAACATCGCAATACCTTAACAAACAGCTTCAGTCACTGCCTACTTAAATCAGCACGCCCACATCCATAGATATGTCGCCCTCCAAAGAATACCTCACCTTCAAAATTAATTGCCTCCAATCAGGAAAACCACTGCCGGTGTATTTGAGGAGTATCACTACTGATGCATTCTGACGGAATGAATGAATCGCCAACTTGGATTGATTGAAAATGGTTCGTGTAAAAATTGGACAGATAACATCGGACAACATATGCTTGTAGTTTTAGGGAGAATTTTGGTGTGGATAACGAACCAATCACTTTTATGAAATCAATACATAAAGTGTACAAGTATGAGACATTCAATTTTGATAAGACCGCAATGTTCTTTAGCTGAGAAAGCCACATTGGAAAGGGAGCCACAGAAAGCCATATTTGTTGTACAGTAGTTTTTCAGTTTGGATACAATTCTTTTTTTCAGAACTGAGCAGTTGAACAGCTTAATGAGCTGAGATGGTAGTCCGGCGGATTCATTTTAAAACCTTTACTATATATAAGGGTGATGATAATCACTGTCTTTCACCACGCAGGGATTGCGCCAGTTCATACAATAAGATCCAAACGACACAGAATCTCGTATGAAATACAGTTAATGTCGGTGTGTTGATGCTTTTAAAAGGGAATGCGAAAGTGGCATGTAGGCTGCTGCTGCTACCAATTGCTTGCTTTTTATTTGTGAATTTTGCAGTTGTCGTCGTTTGATTATTTTCTCATTGTCAAAGTTTGTTTTTGCTGTGGAATGGCGCGTATTGTTGGATTTGCTATCTATTGTTGAATGGTTTAATAAAGATTTTTTACTGGCGTTATCAATGGTTTAAAAATGTTTTGCAAATGTTTACAGGTGTTTTGCCGCATAAATAAGCGATGGAATTGCGAATTTCGAGGGAACATTTGAAAGTAGCGATTAGCGGACTAATTTTTGCGCAATAGCGTTTCAGCGAAAATTATCGCTTCTTCCATCGATTAACGGCACATTCGCGAAAAGATCACATATCGGACTAAAATTTTCAGTGGAACAATTTTTTCGGTAAACTAACGATTAGCGGAGCTGCTAATTTTCATCAGCGTGCCCATCACTGCCTCCAATACATTTGAACATTCCACCTAGAATGCCATAAGAATTTTATTTTTGCAACGGCTTTTGATGGCTGACGGTATCGAAGGCTTTTAAGTAATCCAATAGATTAAAAACAGTCGTTCCGTATTGATCACTGCATCGATTCAATCATAAGGTGAGGATAACAATGAGAACATGGCGGCATGACCTGTTGGAAAGTCGAATTGGGAAGACGACAGAAGAGTTGATTATTTATCATACGATTAGTGAGATTTATATCCCAGTCAAACGTACTATTCCTGTTCTGTTGGAAGAAATAGAACAGATCAGTGTCACTTGGATAAACAGAATGGAACAGGACAACTATGGGCAAAATAGAATAGAATAGAACAGTTTGTGCAAAGTGTTGTACAGAAACATCACTGCATACGATTAATGATACTGTCAATTAAAAGCATTTCCAAAACGTTAAAAACAGAGGAGAACAAAATTATGAGGAGGATGGGCAGCGAATGGATATGCCTGTAGTCAGTGTTCATTACATAAGAACAGTTGTACCGTTCAGTTGTTTTTCAGGAATCGCATTCAGTAACAAATGGTCGAAAACATCGCGATGATCGCTTTCTTCACGTTCATACTGGTATTCGGTGTGAGTGGTAATGCGACGGTTGTAATTGTCTACTTGACGTTAGTGATCATTCATTGTTTAGGAATGAATCGATGTCACCTTATCTATGCATCTGATCTCGCATGTGATGCTAATCAGGTATTAACAAGGTGTACGTTCACCCGTCATACTAATAATAATGATAATAATCCTTAATAGCAGTAAATTAACTGCCCATCGAATGGAAGTGAATGAGTTGCACTAAATAGTGTTCACTTGTTCACCTTAATTGGATCTCGTTAACTTAACTGGCCTTTCAGGAATAAGAAATTGCGTAAACACTTCATAGCTACGATAAGTTTGGCGTTATTTGGAACGTTTGGCTCGATGTTCTATTCCATAAGCCTATATCAGTATTTAATTGACGAAAACATGACTGGAATAAGTAAGTGAATCATGTCTATGAACGCATCTTTATTCCAATCCCTTATGTGCAGTTATACTCAGCGTTTTATTCAAGCGACTTCAGACTTTGTATCTACCTATAATATACATACAACCACGTTGGTTTTATTAATCACGAACAGGAATTTTTGAAAGTTTAGACGTTTTAATGGCTTCAACTATTGACGTTTCCATTTCAGTTAAACTGCTCTGTTCCCATCCTATTCCAGGGAATAGGACGGGAATGGAAGAACTCGACTGGAGAGAACACTTTCTTAAAAGACAGCCACGGAAATGTCATAAGTTTCAACGAGTCCTCTTAGTAGCGAGTGTGTGAATGGTTAGTATTTGATTGGTTCCAAACTCAACAAGCCTCATGCACACCTCACAAACTGAATCGCACTGTGGAAGCGACAAAATAACAATGTTGATAATAAATTCTGAACAATCAAATAGATTCTCGACAGTCAAACAATCAGTATTCAATCAACTGTCAGAAGTTCGAATCATAATTCGAAAAGTTTCAGCTTGCAATCTGATCGGATTCGCTCTTTCTACACTCGCAGTGGGTACAATTCATCAACTGGCACTTCTCTCGTATGGTAGGTGGTTCGAGAACCAAAATTTTTATTTTCAATTCATTCATGCATTCATACGTTTACACCTCAACTTGGTGGTACTGTGCGATTGATATTAAAATATACAAATTTTTGCTAGTGAATTAAAATCGAAAAATGATAGAAATAGTGGAATTGTTGACAGTAACTGAATTAAGTGAACCTGTTAGCGCTTGCTCAATTCACCGACTAGTTGGAATAAATCTGTGAATATTTTTAAGAACGGTACTTGGCGACCGTTCATCCATTCACACTTCGAAGATGCACAATACAGCATAAGCTGTTAGCCGTTGCATTTACAGTTCTGTGTACACTGTGCACTACTATTCCACCGTTGATCGGCTGGAGTCGGTTCGTGATCATTGGAAGAGAAGGCAGATACTGCACGTGAGCTCATTGATTTAAGCGTAATTTCCCTCTCAGAAAAAAGGATCATTAACAATCTTGTTTTGTTCTTATCGTACTCAGTGCGAGGAACTGGTGTTTTGTGAAGCAACAAACTTCTTAGTTAATCAATAGAATTTTATCGCCCTCCGAAAATAATTTGAATTTGTTGGCTCAAAATGTTTGCATGAAACGTTCCAAAAGGCGATTCCAGTTTACACGTCTATGTTATACATATTGTCAAGCGAATAAATATTATTATTATTATTATCGCATTCCACTTCGAATCGTTTGATGGATTCCAGATTCGACTACGTGAGTAAAGACCTGAATTCGCGAACTTATCTGCTAACGCTGTTCATGAGTGCTTATGTGGTTCCAGCCATTATCATCATTGTGTGTTATATCAACATTTATCGCGAGGTCACTCGTTCGTCGTCGACCGATGTTCAAAGCGCTTCATCTAAAAATGTTTATCTTTTAATCACATTCTCAAACTCAGGTTTATGCCTGTCAAAAATCTTATCATCATGAGCATAGTCAAGATTTGATGTCTGCAGTAAGATACGCTCAGCTCTTCAAATTATCCTCCCTTCATCGCCAACTTTTGCTAGATGGATTGATGATGATCCACAGTGCCCTTTCCTTGGTAATGTTCGTTATGCGACACCGCAGACAGTAACGATCGTTTCATTTTACAAAATCCTAAAACTGTTCAGTCATTTAAAAGGCATTCATTCAATGATAATCAGTGATTTCGTAAGGAACATTCAGAGTTCCGTGAGATCGAATATCTCCTTCAAACGGTCCGTCGGATCCAATACTTCGGTCCAACAGTCAATCGGTCACTTTTCTGCGCAAAGAGATCGGACATTTCAAAGAAGGCTAACGCGCATTGTGCTCGCAGCAATTTTAACGTTTATGGTCTCGTGGACTCCTTATGCTATCGTACGTTATTGGTGAAAACGAGCGATTTCAGATACTTATTTGTTTTCGAAACTAAATAATCGTTTCCAGTTGGCGGTTATCTGGCAATTCGTGGGCAACGAAATTCCACCGAGGAAATACATCCTAACGAGTGTTTGTTTTGCCAAGGCATCTGTCGTTTGGAACCCAATCATTTACGGACTGAACGATCGACAATTTCGGTTGGTTCCAATAGGCATTTTAGTGCGCGATTGGANNNTTGAGAATTTTCTCGTTCTCGTTTGCAATATAGGTAAAGGAAAACTGCATGTGAAAACTTATTTCTTCATTGCTCTCTTAGACCGAATTCAGGTTTACGAACCCTCCCTCTCATTTCAGCAAAACCGTCTGTTGATTTATGTATTCCGGCCCACCCTATTCCATTAATTTGCCCACTGTCGATTAGTAACAAACACTCATTTATTCAGCAGCCCTTCCCAGACTTAAGATACTACCTGTTGGCAGTGTCCACTCATTTTACTCAATCGGCAATGAATCAATCCAAAGCCGGTATCATTGAATGCAGTACATGAAAACAATCTCCTAAGAGAAACGACTACAATTCAAAGTTACGTGATGAGTCGTTTGCAGCGTTCGTTTCATGATGTTCGCTCGTTCGAGTATTCGTTTGGGATCGTTGATGGGAAGAGATGAGAGGCGATCAGAGGAACACCATCACACGTTTATCGAAAGAGGAACGGAATTATAAAACAGCGAATACGGTAAAGTAAGAAATCAAGCGGAACAAATACACAAAACAACAGCTGATGGAGCGGAAAGAACACGGATAAATATGATCAACAACGTTATCATTATAATAGATCGAAATGAGTATTGATTATAGGATTAAATACATGCCACAAGAAGTAATAAACAATGAAATCAAATCTGTTACATACTATCGGTGAACTGACTGCCAAACTGATCAATCGAACGAAAGCAATTAAACTGAAACGATAATATTATCGCGTAAAAATGTTAAATTCACTGCCCATCATAAATGAGAGATTTATAATCAAGGCTAAACAATAAAAGAATACAGACAAGGAAATGAAAACATCAAAATAAAGGAAATGATAAGTTTCAAAACTATTTGACTACTTGAATTTCAAAACTAATCGTCAAACGGATTTGTTGAACTACGACTACTATGGATTAAGTCCACTTGTACAAGCAAACCAATAAGCTCATCGCTAAATGACATGAACATTCAATTGGAGTGCATCAAAACCGTCAATTTCAGCGCACATAATTTTCAGGTCAACTTATCAACACACATACAATGTTAATCCAAAACCGCATGTAAAATAGACAGCGTTTTTTAAATGTTATTTACAAAAGGTCAATTTAACGCGTAATATAGGTGTATTGTTTTAATTATTGTCATAAGTAAACACAAAAAGGACTAATAATGATTGGTGCACAAAAAATCTGAAACAATTGAAACCAATTATGGATAACTGGCAACACAAATTTAAAAACCCCAAAGAAAAATCGTTGCTCCGAAGCGAACATTGGCAGAGCACAGCTCTCGAAGCAACATGATCCATCCGACTCAACTTGGCCAAGGAAATTACGAAAAAAAAGTTTCTGAAAACGTTTCTAATTGAATGTTTATCAATCATCGTTCACAATTTATCTATTCGGGCCGGCCTCAACATAATTGAAGTGGCTGATTAGAACGCATAAAATTTATGAAGTTTACCCACCCTGCTCTAAATTATACTTTGGCATTGATCGTAAAAATATTCACAACGTTGATAAGGACAGTGGTAACTCGTGATAAGGAGATGGATTTTGCGGTTTAAAATCATCGGCATCAATTGGTTGATCCATCAAAGTAGTCGTCGATGGCACATCATTCTGGTACGAGGATGTCGACGGTACTTGTTGATGTCGATAATATGCTCGCTTCACTCGTTTCCACAACGGTGTGTAATCGTTTACTTTATTATTCTTGTAATCAACACACCTATGAAATGCCTGGAAACGTCACATAATTACTTTGCTTCATATACAATCAAAAATATCTGAAGTATCGAAACACCCTACATTTTTGTTATCAACGCATTCACAAACGCAATCTATAAAATGCCTGAAAAGTGGTACTAAAGTCCTCTTCATTCACCATCTTTTCAAATTTGATTATGTTCACACGTGAGATAATTATTTCTGAAATGTATTGTACATTGCGAAAGTATGAAATAACTGATAGTGGTAATGAATAAATTATCCACTGAACAATATCGGATACATTGTTAAAAATAAAATTTGCGCACCATACGTGTACGATTGGTAGGAGTGCTGAGATAAAGGCGGTACCTCACTAAAAGCATCTCTAGGCTGTAGTTGACCTTCACGAATACGCAGTCTTGCCTCACGATCTTCCGCTACGGCCATCGCCTCTTCAAGTTTTACCGGTTGACAGCGTTGATCGTGAGTTGGATGCGCATTGCCGATAATCTCACCACGACGCACCGTTATGTACGGCACTATATTAGTGCCACCACGAAGTCTTAGTTTATGACACGTTTGACATCTGTAGTATTGCATATCTTTGCCGTTTAGACCGTTCGCTGAGCAATACTGACGCACGTATTCATCATTCTCACGAATGTTTAGCACCGTTCTGCGCAGTTTCTGTGACAGTGTCATCTCCAAAATCTCACCACCTGAGTCTTTCAGAGCACGCGACTGAAATCCGATTTCATATTCTTCCTATAAATTGAGCACAAATTGCACAAGCATCATCATTCGGGTAACCGAATCGAAACTGGATTTTTAGTTCGATTTTGGTTAACTTCGTTTGCAATCATTTAATTCATATCGATATTTGAAATGAATCAAGTCCATAACTGACTGACCCTTTTACGCGGTGGCTCATCGCAAGTTTCCGTCTGTATTGGCACCTGTTCTTCAACTATTGTTTTATCATCGATAATCGGATCGTTTGAACTTGTTGCCACTGAACTAGTGAATCCTTCAAACCCGATCCGTTCCAGAAAGTCGAAACTGAAAATCATTATTATTCTTACCACTTTGAGAATAAATTATTTGCATACGGAAAAACTGGATCACAATTCAGCGTGATTTTTTTTGAGCAGAAAGAACGGATGAAGAAACGAAACAAATATTTCGTCCACTCAAGATTTTAGCAAATGTCCTTTGATGGCTTTATATGTGCGATGAATTCTAACTGTGGGTTTGATCGCTGAGCAACGTATTGAAAAAATTCAGCGAAGGAAAGACTTCGGCTAATGACGAGATCCAGTCAAATGGAGACGATAAGGAAGAAAAGAGTGAAAAGATAAGATTATAATAAGATCACTAAGCACCTATCATCCTCAACTGGCATTGGAGCACGGCCGTTTGTTTGATCCACAACATCCTCCATTCCGGTCGGGTTCGGTGGCGGTTGTGCGTTCGGTTGTTGCACTTTGCGATGTCGATAGTATGATCGTTTAATATTCTTCCATAACGGAAGGTAATCGTTTACTTTATACGTATTATCCAGATTGATGCAACGATGGAATGCCTTCAACAACAACACCATCGATGAAATGTTATCGATGAAACGACATACTATTCTCTTGGAATTGCTCAAAAGACACATCATATGCAAATCTTTGCAACTATCAGCAAACACCAATGAACTATCGCACAACTTTCAATTAAAGTGATTTTGAGTAAAGACTTTTCCGATGAGAAAAACGAGTGACGAAGGATGCTGCTAGGAAGCTATGAGAGCTTTGGTATTCACCATACGATTGAAGAATGTGCATGAGAGTTCAGAAAAGGCACCTCTGAACGAATAAATGAAACACTTAACAAGCATTTCGCTTACACTTAGTTTGATCCTATACAATTCAAATATAAATCGAATGATTCGATTCTGGAGTTGACATCCGAAATTTCTGAATGATTCCAACAACCGAACTACCACCAATGTATTTGTTTCCACTGACCTCATTAAAAGCAGTTCGAGGTTCTTGTCCCTCACGAACGCGTAATCTAGCCTCTCGATCTTCAGCCACCGCCACTGCTTCTTCCAATCTGATCGGATGACAACGTTCGTCGTGAATCGGATGCGCATTACTGACAATCTCTCCTTGACGTACACAGATATATGGCACTGTATTTGTGCCACCTCTCAGCTTCAACTTATGGCATGTTTGACACTTATAATACTTGATGTTTCGTCCATCTAGGCCGTTCGCTGAACAATACTGACGTACATAGTCACCTTCACGAATATTCAGCACCGTCCTACGAAGTTTTTGTGAGAGTGTTATATCCAAATTTCCAGTTCCAGAACTCTCATCCATTACATCTGTCTGTAATCAAGTGAGTGTGCACCATATTCAATGATAAATTCTTAATGAGTGTTGATCAATAGCTGAGAAGTGCATCCCACGGTCCACAGTACAAAATTTATTCGAAAAAAGGATTGCAAAACTGTTTTTCTGATAGCGAAAAACTCAGTTTTCATTAATAATGCAAATTTCAGTGTTCTAACTTCAGTCTGTAAGCACTATGAATGGAACTGACCAGGAATTTAAGCAGAAGCCAGGATTAGGTTTAAATAATTTCATTAGAATGAAGTTAAACTAATCTATGAATTAATCAGATCCGGTTGTTTTCCTTAGCAAAAGTTAAAAGAGTAACAGAAGGTGATATGAATACTTACTTTGCCGCGGGCGTATTTCGAGATAGTAGCCGGAGAAATGGTCATTCCAGCTCTATCTTGCACCTCCTTCACAGCCTTTCTTAGACTTGTAAGACCGTCAGCATACTGCTTCACAACCTCCTGCACCACTTCACTGTAAGTTCAACTGATCGTGAGACATTCTTCTCAACGAAAGTGATCAACCAATGTAACAGTTTACAATTAAACACTCTTTAATCACTACACTATTTAAGGCGCTATTTCAACAATGTACTAGAAACTTTTCGAGATTTAAAGGGCAATATGTAATATGAAAAGAACATGAAGCATACATTTTCACACCAATAATTTTACACTTCCATACAATTATTCATTGAAACAATTGTTGGATGACAGTATTGTTAGCAGGCATAAATGATGCGCGAACTAAGTACATGACACGAGATTCACTGGCTGATAATAATCTTAAGATAACCTGTGATCATATAATGATCACTTATTTCTAACACAGCTACTATCATAATCAGCATAGTTTTAATCGCATCGATTGTAACAAAACAAATTTTATAACAAAAAAAAGAGATTGCATAAAATAAAGTCAAAGTAAATTACTTTTCAATTTTCAAGATTCTTCGTCGCTCCTCTCCAACCATAACGCATAACTTCTTCACACACACACAATCAATAGCAACAATGAAATCAACAGCGATTAACTTCCCTTCTTGAAATGTGCCTATCAAAAGCACATAAAAATTGATTGAAATACTACAACACAATCACACGTTAGTTACGTTTCCATTCATTTCTGTGTTCACACAACAACGTCAAAGCCCCGAATGAAACCATTAAATTGAACAACGATTCATATAAAATTCGCTTATTCTCCGAATTTGCGTTCTCTTTGTCTGTTTGCACTACTCTAACGCACTCTAACCGATTTTCAATTAGCACCGTGCGTGCACCCACTGCAACATATATAGATTTATCATCAAATTTCTATACCCTTCCCGTTGACGCGTCGTCCACTGCACAAACTTGGTGAGGAGCATGCTGCCATATCGAGCCTTTGCAGACAATACAACGAGCAGTACTCACTCGACGACGACTTGTCAGTGAATCCAAAAAAGTCGCAAAGAACACAAAGTGCATTTCTAGAGCCAAGTTCGACCGAAGAACACTAGCAACATAGTGCATGAACTCGTGCAACTTGAAAACAGGTGCATAGCGAACAATAAGACTGTAGATATGATCAAGACTATCTTTGAGAACGGATAAAGTATTCATCTAATAGACAGTTGCAAAAACTCCCCAGCCAGTATGAGGAGTAGTAATCGGGAAGCTGAAAACTGATAAAGTGCTGAAATTAACTTGGCTATGGCTCGCCTTAAGTCTGATAGATTCACCAGAAATTTCGCTTCTTAAGATCTAACGAAAGTCTGGACTCGACATGCCTGGCCCAACGACGCCTTGACGTAGGATCTCCGCTACTCAGTCGGNCATAAACTTAATGAATACGCGTGAATTTCCTTTATAGTCTTGTGGCATGTGATTGCCTTAATTGGTGAAAATTTTTGGCGTAATTTCTCGCTGCGGGTGAAGAGTTGCCTCATTTCTCAAACGCTCTGTTGAACAGCGTGACATGCGTAATTTCTCACGATATGGGGTGTGGAAATTTATTTGAAGTCTGACAACCCTTCTTTCTTAATCAGTGTTTCCTTCGACGAAGTGTGGATCTTGCTAAACAGTTTAAGACTGACTCAGTCTTTCAATTAATATTGTTGTCACTCTCTGCCTTTCATGATTTTCTGCATGATTGGTAACTGAATTGGTTAAAGCGTACGTATTTGTTGGTTTCGTTCAGTCGATTATGATATGACGATACTTTCGCATAATTTATTCGAAATGTCATCTCTGTTTACAGGTGGACCTCAAGGCAGCAACGAAATATACACTGACCAAATCAAAAGATGAATACATCTGTTGAAGAAGTTGTTTCAAACGGCAAGAATCATTCGATGAAAATATCATTCGGTGTCAAAAAGAAACAACCAGCTATCAATGCTGATCTCAACTTATTGAACGATGGAAAGCGATCGCAAAGTGACGATGAAGAGAGTGATGGAGTGTTCGTTGAAAATGCTAAAAAATTACGGTTGACTCATTTCGAGGATGGTGTAATCGTCGAGTACGTATTTGAATCTACCTTAGGTTTTTGCTTATTGACAATGAGCTATAAGCATGCCTTTATGTTTCATCTTTTGCGGATTCGATGACTTCGAATAAAATTGCTGTATTTTTTAGCGACGAAAAAGACGTGAAGAAATCGTCAGATGGACTCGTGATACCGATGGTGAAAGAAAATGATTGGCGTATGGAGAGGTTGTTAAGATTAATGAACGAAGGTAAATTAAGTGCTGAAGAGGCAGCGAAACTTGAACTACTGAAAGAGGCTTCTTCACCATCTTCAAGCACTGGAATTAAGGTGAGTTGTTGTGTATTTTTAGCTTTTTTTTTCGAAGGTCGAAAATGGTTCTTATTAGAGATTCGAATTAAATAATTCTTCGGGTCTACCGCTTCGTTGGGTTTCTGGAGTGATTTACTATTTCAGACCGTCTTTTGAGAAGAAATTCACGTTGCCAACGATTAGAATCTTAAGGTTTGACTGTTACATTTAAGCTGTCGTTGCAAATTTCAAAACAACCTGTGTTGTTGTAATGTATATCAGAAATACTTTATTGTCTGCGAAATAATTGAAGAAAATTGACGAGAATGAGAGTGATGGACTGACGTCGAAAATAACCGCAGAAGACGCAGACTACGAACAAGTTCCGGTTGAATCATTCGGTTTAGCGGTACTACGTGGATGTGGCTGGAAGGAGGGTGAAGGCATTGGACTCACCAATAAAAGGTGATTTTTAATGTGGAATTTCATCTTATTGTTGCAGCATTTCGATGTTCAAAATTCAAGAAACAATATAGGTTTAAGTCGGTTCAGTGTACGTTTGCTTGCTGATTACGTTTGCTCGAGGTCTAGTTTGTTTAGAATTCTTGGACTTTTAGCATGTGTTTCATACAGCACTCAGTGTTAAGATTCTGATCACATCGATAAAAAAGTTTGCAGAGTTGTACCGTTGAAATTACCACCGAGGAGACCAAAAGGACTCGGTCTCGGTGCTGATGTGAACATGGGGAAGCAGAATGGTAAAAGTGAAGTCACTGGTGGTAGTAAAGATCCCGACGTTGGGCCGTTGAAGAAGTTCTCCTATGTGAAAATCTTGAGTGGTGCTCACAGGTAGTTGTTCTTCGTAAAAGATATTTTCATTAGACTGTTCTCCTAACTTTTAAGTTTTGACATAGCATTCTCAATCATCTTTATGTNTGAACGCAAAATAGTTTATAGTTTACTTTCAGAGATAGTTACGGTAAAGTGCAGAGTTTTGATGAAGACAATGCGAGTGTGATAGTGGAATTAGCGATTAAAGGTAACAATGTTCGTGTGAGTGGATTTGCGGTTCAAGTGATTAGTGCGAAAGAATATGAACGCGATGCGAAATGCATTAGTAAGTTATTTTTTCTTTTAATTTTAAAATCATTCACCTCCTTTTTTTGTATCAGATATCAGTGACAATTATATATTACAGAACTATGATATATGAATGGGTTGACGGTGAATAGTTATTAACTTTTGACACTTTCATAAGCATCCAAATAGTTTTCAATTCTGTCCTTCAATTCAGACAAACGAAATTACGATCGAGAGAAGAAGCGAATTGACGAAAGGAATAAAATGAAATTGGAAGAGCAAGAAGAGATGAAAAGAAAACGAAAGTCGAAACAAGAATCCTGGATATCTTATGAAAAAGAAGACAAGCGGACTTTGGATAAAGATGTGAATAGGATAAAAGAGAGTAAGAGAGTCGATAAATCCTCAAGAGATTCGAGAGAAAGGCGGATGTGGGTAAGACCTGAGTTACGGGTGCGATTCATCGACAAAAACTTTAAGGTTCATAATGACTTCTATTGACTTCATTTTGAAATGATTTCGGATTTGAGATTCATTCTTTGTTTTTATTCAAGCGATCTAGGTTCTGAGCCTACATTTCAAAATGAATGAGAATTTTGACGCATCTCAGTGCTTGTTCTACGATATAAACTGTGCGCCATGGAGAATTCCTGTGAATGTGCCAGTTCAATTTGGTGTTTTCCGGAAATATCTCAGAGATACGCGACTGTTGGCAGTTTTGGCCATCCAATGTGGATCGTTTAATTAATCATCAGAGCACATCTCATCCACTTGATTTCTCAATACTTCTTGAAATGATCAATGATAAATTTCAGAACGGAAGGTTATACAACGAAAAAGTTCGTGTTGTGGATGCGGCCGATCCGGAAAACTGTGCAGTTGAAGACAATGGAGGGAAAACTTACTATCGTGAGTCAAGCATTTAATTCATTCGTTTATTGTTGCTTTCAATACATTGGTTTTGTTGTATTGTTTCTATTGCCATTATTGAAATTGAAATGGTAAGTGAATTGTAAAATCAGTTCAATGAACTGGAAGTTTCACTGATGAGGTTGATGGTAGCCCAAATTCGTTTTATGCCTATGCAATTAGTTAAAGCCTACGGAAGTAACGAATAATCATATTGGCTTATTCATGGGCCATCGACTGTTGGTTTCATTATGTTCTCATTTGAATTTTCTTTTTTTTTTGAATTGACATTGTGGATTGTTGATTTGATTTTTTGCTAAATTTGCAGAGATTCATGAAGACTGGCTGGAAACAGTGATTCCAAAACGAGAAGGGTCTCGTCTGATGATCTTACGAGGTCCTTTGAGAGGACAGCTGGGCGTTATGGAACGGAAAGATAAGTATAATGAACAAGTGCTGCTGCGAGTTTTGCTGAATGACGAATTGGCATCGTTTTCATTCGATGACGTTTGTGAATGGGTCGGTGAGATTGACGATGACTGATATATTATCATCATATTCGATCAATTCTTTGTGCGTGTATAAATAACGTTTAACTTATACATACCTGTACCATATGAAGTTTGTAATTTGTTCTGCTCTGGATTATGAACTTGTTGACCACCTCATTTTGATGAAATAAATCGTTGATGTCTTATTTTCGCGACGTTTCATTTTCGAATGCATTGAACGGTTTTTCTTCTATTCATGCACACAGTAATGCTCAGTGGATAAAATATACAAAAATTAAATTATTTCATTTCGAATATTTCACTCATTTTACGAGAGACAGACAACATGAAGAGTTTGAGGCAATAAGTTAAAGAATTCAGAATTTAAATTGATTATAGTGGCACTTTAGCAGAACAAAAAAAGTTGTAAACTGCCTGTTCTTTGCGCAAAATTTAACATTCATCTTAAAGTGAGAACATTTTGGGATTTTGGTGAATGTATTGAATGATTTGAACACGGAAGGTGAAAATGTTCTCTTCATTGTTTTTCATTGTACTCATTCCGCATTCCATGGAAGAACATTCTTCAATTTGGATTAGCGACGATGACTTGGTCTAGTTCTTAGTCGGATTATTTCAGTCAAAATCTCTCTGGATATGTTTGAATATGTTCATTTAGACTTTATTCTTCCAAGTTTCTTTCCTCACAAATCAGATCGTTTTTTTTTTNCCACCAAAATGCGTATTTCCTCCTCGCAGTCGGTTATTCTGTTCGGCCTATTTGTCGCATTCAGTACTAATTATCATCTACTTTTGTATTCCGTAATCTGTAGTATTCTGGTTATTCATCGATGAACAAAAATTAGTGTTCTTTTCTAAAGTGGTCACAATGGAAGTGAGAAAGAAAGATATTTGCAAAAAAAACGTATTGAGGTAATTGCACAAAGAGGAGAACACTTCAGAAGTTTTGTTGAAATGAAACGTTGAATGGGAAGCAATTAGGAGAGCACATCCTCAATTTGACGTGTTCGTGTGGAACAAGAGGAGGGATATTAATATGCATCGTGACCAGTCAGTCTCCTCTTTCATCACTCATTTATTCAAATTGAGTCCATATAAAAGAGTGTCTAAAGAAAAGTCATTTCAATTCATATTCCTTGTTACATATTATGACTTCTTTCCATTCATTTCCATCTAGTCAAATGAATCTGTATTTGCGAGTTTTCATCATGCTATATTCAACTGTCACCATGTTCACTGATTCAGTTGGGTCAAAAAGAATTCATATAATTATTCGTGATAATATCACGCAAACATGCCCGAATGGTAAGTGAACGAGTTGTTTTTATAGATTCGAAAATAGACGAATTAACTGAATCAGTGCAGCTATCCTTTTGCTATCAAATGATCAAATGATCAAGGAGCATTCAATCGTGTTTATGATAAGATCAGTGGTCCCCACGCTGGGCTACTCCATTAGCCCCTTCGATGGTTTAGCAGGTCGCCGTTACCTCTCCCCCTCCTGCTACAGTAATACTATTTGTACGCATAACGTCCTCCATTACCCCCTGACACACCTAAATTGCCCGAAAATGGGTGATTTTTGCCTATGGGGACCCCTATAGGCAAAAATCGATTAAGTAGTTGTCTGTCAAAAATTGCTCGAAATTTGTAACACAGAACGCAGTTCATAATCCGGAAATTTGAATTGGTCAACGTTAAGAAAGCAATTCTTTCTTTTGTTAAGAGCAGCCACTTCGTCTTGTTTCAGTTCCAGTTTAGAATGGGCAATGCGTTGTTTACAATTGTGATTATAGTACTTGACAATTTCATTCGGCATTATTCTGCTCTACAGATCAACTGTAGCGTGTGTAAATCAAAATCCTTTATGCTGACTGTGACTTTTGATGTGTTGTTTGCTTAGCGATTGAATATCTGCTGTGATATCTTGTTAATACAGTTGATTTGAGATCAGAAAGACTTTCAGCAACATGAAAGAATTGTCGAGAAAGGTTCTTAAGAACGAATCTAATGCTGGATAATACATCAGGAATATGTTTCCTCGAATGTTTTTGTTTTTTAAAGTCACATTCATTNAGAACGAATCTAATGCTGGATAATACATCAGGAATATGTTTCCTCGAATGTTTTTGTTTTTTAAAGTCACATTCATTTATTTGTCCTGCTCAAACAAGCAGTTGTGTGAGCTCATGCGATTTTTGAGTAACTCTTTGCAGTTCGATCAGAACTAATCGATAGGAATTCGTTGAAATTACAATTCGATACGTTATCATCGTCAACGAACGGTGATCAAATAGCAGTTACCACTCAAGATGGCAGGTCGACAGTCCTCTCATTTCCTGGGTTAGAATGATACAATAAATATTCCTTTTTGTGTTCGTTACTGAGACTCGTATGGCATTAAGTCAAAACTTTGTTTTACCTTTTTGAGAATTAATCATTTTCATTTTCATGTTCTGATTTGATAAACTGTCTTTCTGAATGCAATTACTTGATATAAATTTTCACTGTATCAATGTTCTTTCAAACTATATGAGCAGTTACTTTTCATCAAAGAGGACACCAGAAAATTCTGGCCTAGAGTTGTTGCTTTTCGCAAAAATGATCAGTGACAAAAATCGTATAACTCTTATCACTTAATGCAAATTTGAAACACAAAATTCTCAGAATCTGAAGTTCATTTGCAAAACAATCGATTCAGCAACGGTAAAAGCAATTCAAATCAATGCAATGAATTGAAATCATTGGAATTGAATCCGCTTCGATTTGCTAGTTCATTCGGATTGGGAATGACTTGAAACTTTTCAGTAGAAGTGATTCTCACCAAGAGTTCATGTAATGATTCGTTTCAGTTGTTATCATGTTTCGTTGAGCTTCCGCATGAATCAGCCGATTAAGAATCCGTATGTGGAAGCATTCTTTCAATTGGGCACTAATATTCCGTGTCAATC